CACCTTTCACACTAGATTCATCAACATGGTAGATTCATCAAAGGTAAAATCCCTTCTGAAGATTATTTTCTTTGTTTCTGGACACCAAAGACGATAGCCTTTCACACTAGAGGTGATCCCAATAAAGATCGCCTTCGTTGCTCTTGGATCCAACTTTGACTCCTTAACATGGTAGTATGCAGTGGAACCAAACATATGTAAGGAATCATAATCTATAACAGGTTCTCCAAACCATTTCTCTAATGGCGTTTTACCACCAATAGCAGTCGATGGTAAGTGGTTGACAAGGTGACAAGCATAGACCAAAGCCTCAGCCCAAAATTCTTTGCCTAACCCATCATTAAACAACATACACTGAACCTTCTCCACTAATGTTTGGTCCATACGCTCTGCCATCCCATTCTGTTGTGGTGTAGATCTAACAGTGAAATGCCTGACAATATCGTCTTCATCACAGACTTTCAAAAATGGATCATTTTTGTACTCTCCAACATTGTCTGTACGGAGACATTTAATTTTTCTGTCTGTTTGAGTTTCCACCATCTTTTTCCATTTAAGGAAAAATCCTAGCACATCATCCTTTGGCTTTATTGTATACACCCAAACTCTCCGGGAAAAATTATCAACAAAGGTGACATAATAGTGTGTTCCTCCCAATGAAGTTGTCTTGGAAGGCCCCCATACATCTGAATGAACATAATCCAAAATACCTTTAGTATCATGGATTGTTGTTCCAAATTTCACCCTCTTCTTCTTCCCTTTGATACAATGCTCACAAAAAGATAATTTGCAAGCCCGAGCACCCTTCAATAATCCTTTATCTATCAGCAATTTAAGGATTTTTCACCAATGCCCTAAGCGCATATGTCATAACATGGTTGCTTTTGACTCCTGTTCATCAGTAGAAGCTGCCACTGCTGTTGTCCCAACAATTGTACTACCCATAAGTAATACACATTGTTTTTTTTCAGGATTCCATTATCACCAGTGCACCAGAGATAATCCTCATAATCCCATCTTTTTCCCTCACTTCTAAACCTTTTGACTCTAAGGTTCCAACAGAGATGAGATTTCTCATTAAATCTGGTACATAATAGACACCTGTTAAGGTTTTGATGATCCATCCTGATTCCTCAAGCAAATTGAACCAATCCCAAGTGTGTCAAGAGGGAATTATTTGCTGTGTAAATAATTCCACCTTTTAGTTCTTTAAAATCAAAGAACCATTCTCTATTGGGGGTCATATGGTGGCTACAAGTTAATCTAACAGCCATGAATTGGAACAGCTGGTTGATGGCGTAGCAGCGAATGCGAAATCTGAATCTGCATCATCATACTTGACCACATTTAATTCTGAGAAACCTTTCCCCTTTCAGGTTTGCCTTTATTCTTTAGCCTGGGACATTCTTTCTTCCAGTGCTTTTTTTCTCGACAAAAAGCACATTCATCTTTGTTCAATCTGGACTTTGACTTCAATCTCCCTCTCATTCCTTTATTCTGACTCTTCGAACGGCCTCTAACAACAAGAGCTTCTTCTTCGACACTTGTTTTCTTGTTTGTCTTTCTTTCTCAATTCATAAACTATACAAGCAGTTACTTCACTGAGAGACACATCAACCTTCCCATGAAGTAGAGTAGTTTCAAGATACTCAAACTCATTAGGAAGTAATCCCATCAACATCAGAGCCAGATCTTCGTCTTCAAAAGTCACATCCATATTCATCAGATCAGTCACCAGCTGATTAAAGATAGTAATGTGATCATTCATAGTGGTACTTGGTACATAGTTGAAGCAAACAATCTCTTTTTTCATGTAGAGCTGTTCTTACCGCTTTTCTTCAAAAATTTCTCCTCAGTGCCTTCCACAATTTACTTGCAGAAGTTTTCTTAGAAATGATACTTCTTCTCTCTAGAAAGACACGATCGAATAATACCACATGCCAATCTATTGATCCTCTTCCATTCTTTCTCCTCAACATCATCTGGTTTCTCTCCTTCAATAGCAATGTCTATACCCTACTGAAATAGGCCATCTAGAACCTCACTTTGCCACATGCCGAAATTACCAGTGCCATAAAAAATCTCCACTGCAAATCTAACTTTTGTCACAGTATTTCTTGCGAATGTTTTTGTGTCGTCGGCCATTTCTGCTACAAACTCTATTAATAGCTGTCAATGCGGAATGCCATTATCCCAAGGAAATTTTTTCTGATGTGGAAGATCAGCCTAAGCCGCAACCACAGAGCATACTAAATAAACCAAGAGCTCTCATACCAATTATTGTGGAATTTGGATTAATTTCCACAATAATAACAATTCACCTTGAAACTATATCTATGTGACTAGTGTGAAAACGATTGTACTAAAAATCACCCCAAGGTAGATTCCCATTCGGCCAAAATTATGCCTATGTCCTCGAACACTACTAAAATAATATTTCACTAATAGAGGAAATACAAAGAGAGAAAGAGTACAAATAGCTTTTAATAGTGAAGAAGGCTTATATTTGTGGGATGCTAAACTAAGGAGGAGGATGGCTCTATTTATAACAAAAGAATTTCCCCTCCTCCTTATACACAACCAATGTGGGATTTTTCCAAAAAACCAACAATACCTATAAAGAATTATCCTTCCAAGCAACTTCAAAATTGTCGACCTATTGAGTAATCTCACTTATAGAAGAAGAGAATATTGTCTTTCTCTAAAGAATTTGGATTCGAGCAACTGCATCTATAGGATATGTGCATTATTAATAAACTAAAAAATATGAATATATACAACTTTATAACCACTCCTTTTTAAACTTGCAAGTGAAATAATATATATAAATAATTATTGAACCCATTTAAATTAAATTAAAATAAATGAAGTATTCCTTCATTGATTATGATACATAAAACAATTTATATTACTTAATCTAAAAATGTACATAATATATATAATTATCCCAAGTAAATAATTCTTGAGGATTATTATGTTGTCTAAAGTTCAAATAAGAATCTAGTTTATCTTAACTATAAGAGCAGGTTGACTCGTGAGTATAGACATAAATGTGTTGGTTTAAACTGACATTACAATGGACTAGACCTAAATTGAATTAAGATCTTAAATCGATTTAAAAATTAAATTTATTTATGATATTCAAAATATATTTACCTTAAACTTGAATAAATGTGGGACAATGTGTGTGTGACTTGTATACTTTGATGTATCAAGATTTGATGTGTTTCAAAGTAGTAAGTCGATGAATGATATATTAGGTATGTGACTCATACATGATGTAGATGTATTTAAAGATATAGAATTATAGTTTAAATTAAGAGTTAATGACATCTTTTCAATGATATTATATGATTTGTGAAAATAAAATATAGATATATGTCACTTATCAAGGTTAAATGATTTAAATATTACTTTATGTAATAACTAATTTCATCTTATAATTTATAATGAAATATTGAGATAAAAGTGATAAATCTGATAAATGGATCAAACATATACTATGAGGTTAATATGTTAACGATAAGATCTTGAATAAAAGCGACAAGGTAAATTTTTGATGATGTTATATGAGTGGGAGCTCAATCATGATATGTTGGAATGACTTATAAGATTTTTTATTTTATTTCTCCTAGTTTTATCTCCTATTTTCTCTCATCGCTAGATCGTTCATCTATATTTTTTTTGTCTTTATTGATCGGTTGCCACAACAATTTTAATGTTGATTGTCGACTGTCGGTATACTTTATTGTACTTTTTTTAATTTTCAATAAGTTTACTTGTATGACACTTTTTTCTCTGCCTTTATGAAACATTTTCTTCTATCTTTTGGCACGTTTTTTTCGACCGTTTGGTCTTTGTTTTCACTAATCTTTTTCTAAGGGTTAATTAGACATCGCCACGGCTGATCAAGATGACGCTTATCTGTTATATTATTGATCTTTCCTGCTTTGGACCCTCATATTGGATTTGAATACCCGTTATGCGTTTGTGGATAGCTTTTCACGTCGCTCGAGTCTGATTTGCAGTTTATCGGTGATCTTTCAGTAGCTTGATCTCCTTTTGTGGTATGTTTGTTGATGCGATCAAATATGTTTGTATCTATCTTTGTTCGAGTTTTCTTGGTTAGATTTTAATCTTTCCTTGTATGGTCATTGTATGATCTTAAGTTACTAGTTTTACTTCAATGATTATAGGAAATTGTATTAATTATGTGCTTAATTTACGATTATACTTGTAAATATTTATTGTAATTTAGGATATTTTTTATTTTAAATAAATTCAGTGATTTCTTAAAAAAAAACAATGTAGATATAATTAGTTGATGAGAAGTCTGAAATTAATTACATATTATTTTAGTCCATATCTTATAAATTCGAATGGCCCCTTAATTAGCATAATTTATCTCGTCAGTGGATTGTTTGATTGAATCGTGGATAAGAAATAGATTTGCGAAAATTACTTTTTTATGAAATTGCATTTCTCACGAATGAAAGAATTAAAATGATTTTGAAATCAATTTTACGAATTTAAAAATGAAATATTAAATTAATAAAAATGTATAAGTTAAAAATAGTAAAATTATCATATTTATTCTCTTTTAATTAGTTTTGGGTCCAAATCATATTTATTCTCTAAATTTTGGGTTTTATATTTTATTATATTTGTTTAAAGAATCACTTATTTGATATCAAATCCCATATCCTTGCTATGTAGTGTTCAAGCCCAGAATCTCAATAAATAATAATTTCTTGAACAATAAAGTCTCTCTTGGTTCGTGCAATTTTCTCTATATATCTTTTATAGCTAAGAATGTATATGATCAGCAGCTAGGATGATAGAATAAAAAGATGGGAGATGAGATTAGCATATTAGCATAACGGGTACGATAAGTGCTGAGATCAGATACAAACAAAAAAGATAATGGTTGGGAACAATTCACAAGGATTCCAATGGAGATGAAATTTCAGAACTCTCACAATTACTTAAGAGTAGATGGATCAGATGTACTCAGCTCTGCATACATGTTTGAAATTGCTTTTGCAAAATACGCCCTTGCTTGGGGTCTCTTTATCTGCCAACAAAAGTTTATAAGAGATGAGAGTGTTAGCATAAAGATATGTGTATGTAATTGCTTTAACTATTCCTCTGAATTTATATCATTTAGTAGCACACTTAGTTTTATTTAAAAAATTGTTACTATATTTATTTTATATTAGAATTATTCATTTAATATATAATTCCTTTAAATATATATATATATATATATATATATATATATATATATATATATATATATATATATATATATCTCACAGCTTAACTTCTGATGTAGTACCCTGCATAATTCTGTTATACAATCTGGGGAGTGGGGACACTACAGAATAAAGTGGGTCGTAGAGCATAAGGTTGGCGATTTGACCAAACTGACATTGTTTAATCGAATATTTATCTTTTTAGTACCGTTTGATATATATTTCTCGAAGTGCGCCTTCACGGGATTCTGATGACTCGGCTGCCATGCTGGTATTTTGTTAATAGGTAACGATATATGTAAGAATTATCAGTTTTGATTAATAGTGAATAACATATATGAAACCAGTTTTGATTTTATTGTAGTTATAGGAAAAATGTATGAAATTATAATATTACACATATGGTTATTTATTATTTTGATTTTGATATCGATCTATTAATTTTATCAGTAATTATTTAAATGTTATCAATCTAGTCATCTCTTATCAATATTATCGAAAATATTGATGCATAAGTTAATAAATTAGTATAATTACACATTTAATCTTCAAGACTTACATATTTTATGAATTTAGTCTTATGAAAATTTAATTTAATAAATTTAATCCTCCAATCAGAACATGAAATGTGTCATCGTATACATAAATTTTTAATAACTTTTAATTTGTTTAATTTAATATTTTCTCTACTTAGAGGTGAAATTATTATAATATTAATTATTATATTAAATAAATATATTGAAAATATTTATGTATTTAAAGTTAAAAAAAATTATTTAGGTGTACTACATTGACAAATTATATAAAATGCAATAACATTAAATTATTAGAAACAAAAACATCATTTAAATACAATATTAATTACATAAGAGTTAACGGTTATATGATGATAACAGAGCTATACATTTTTTCTATGTGCCCGATGTTTCTACAATGCCCACATCGTTTTTGTTCTGTTGACTTCTCCCGAATATCCATACACAATGTATTATAGTAGATTTTGGACGACCTGAGTCCCTCAATAGCAATGGATCTGGTATAATTGTAAGCCAAGTTTGAATCTCATTTGGGTCTCTTTCATTTCTATGGGCTGAAACTCAAATTCATATACCTTGAATATTTGAGAAAGTTGGTATACGGATCAACATAATTTTTGTAGTCCAAATGCGAATGTGAGCAAGCTGCAATGACATGAGAGCATGGATATTGAGTGCTTGAAAGAAACCACAATCGCACCACCTCTCTTACAGATTAACTCTGAAAGAGTTAGCTTCAATCCCTTGCAGCGGACGTGGCAATTCGGTTACACGAAACAATTCACGGGTGCGAGAATAATTTGTAACTAACATCCCATTTGATGCAACCACTTTTTTCTGTAAATCAGCTACTAGTCTTGGGTGGTAAATATGGTCGTTTTGCATCCAAGTAAGAGCTTGTCCACCGAGCTTTGCAAAGAGTTGACCCAAACGAAAATAAGCCGTTTTAACCAACGTCGTGACTGGTAAATGACGCGCCCCCTTTAAGGTTGAATTTATTACTTCAGCCAAGATTGTTTTCATATGACCATAGCGATAGCCCCCGTCATACGCATTTGTCCACATTTCTTTGCTGATGTCTATAATGTACTCGCACCCCTTCTTATTTTTGCCAAACAGCTCTTGTAGCATCGACTCAAACCTTTGAGGTAAGAGTCCGTAACCTAAGCCATTAGGAATATGTAATATTTAATATGAAGTATAAATAAGTAATAAGAAATTGATAGAAAAATTGGGAAAAAGTAACATACCCATCCGCACGACTAACTGATGTTCATCGTTCTTCTTGTATTTTTCGTAATAGTTTGCAGCAATATGACAGACACAATAACGATGTTGAACATGTGGAGGTCTATACATTGTACCCAAAGAGTCCATTGCTGCTTTTATCCCGGCTCCTCAGTCTGAAATAATGCATACTCGTTCCCTGGTGACAACATGTAAACGTAAATTTTTAAGGAAAAAATCCCAAGACTCAGTGTCTTCTCATTGAACGAGGGCAAACGCAATAGGAAGAATATTGCGGTCTCCATCTTGGACCATAACCAATAATAAAACTTGCTTGTATTTCCCATACAAGAAAGTACCATCAATTTGGACAACTGGTTTACAGTACTTGACTGCATTAATACACTGAGGGTAAGTCCAAAAGACACGGTAAAATTGGAAGCGATCACGAACCATTCGATCATTCACGTAATGATGTTGAGTTTCGAACTCAACAATTGTCCCGGGATTGAGTCTTTGCATAACATGAAACCAACTGGGCAGCTCGTTGTAAGAGGAATCCCATTCGCCATGAAGTTTGCAAATGTCATTATGTTTTGTCAACCATGTTTTTTTATATGAGACAGTGTACCCATATTGTGACTGTATAGCATAAATCAACACTGCAACAACTATATGAGAGCTTTGTTTCACAATGGGCATGATTGCTTGGCAAATAATGTTGGAGTCCAAGTTGGGATGATCATGGTTTATACCTCTTGCACAACATGTATGAGGACCGTTGTATCTGGTTAGTTCCCATAAGTTGTTCTTCCTCTTCCTCTTTGATACACGGACCATCCATTGACATCCGTTGTCATGTTGGACGTAGTAGCAGACACATTTCTCTGTGTTAGATCAATCAACTCGGGACTGAACTGAGTTACGAATATTATAACTCTTTATTGCCATCATTGCTTCCTCCTTCGATGCGAACTCCATTCCAATATGTAAATTACCGTCATTGACTGATGATTGAAGTCTATAGTTGCCAACATCAGGAAGATCTGGAAATTTAGGCTCATACATTGCATCATAATCAGCCTCATGCATATGTGCAGGAAGTTCGGCTGGTGTTGTATTTATCGGAACGTCATCCTCGTTAGCATCAGAATGTACGTTAAACTGTGGTGAGTCAGGTTCAACTAATAATCTTGTTTCAGCACCATCTGCACCTGGCTCCCGAAGAGGTTTTTCTGGTGGAGATGAGGGTTTCTTTGATAATCCAATGTTGAGGTCAAATAAGTTCCCGCTTGTGTATCCTCCCCTTGAACTTGAGGCCATTGTATCATGTGGGATGTGAATAGACTGCCGTCTCGTTAACATTTCCATATGTAAGTCGAAAACATTGGCAGCTGAATGCCTGCCCCTTGAAGTAGAAGAGATGTTGCCATATGGATTATTGGTGAAGCCACGTGGGTTGAGATCATAAGCAGTTGCAGATGAATATCTTCCTATTGAACTTGATGGCATGGCATTTGGCGTTAGATCCGCCATTAATGATGTGAAATCATTACAGATCAGTTGTGTCAGTCTATCAACTTGATCAGCTTGATATGCAATGCCAAAGTGAGGAATATGAGAGACCACGAGAAGCACTAACCTCAATAAAAGTGGCATACATTTCAATAGGAGATTGTGAACTCCCCATATGAGCATCAACCATCATAGAAACATCATCATTGTTTGAAAGCTGAAATGATGCATACGTGAGCGGAAAAAGTTCAGTAGGAAATCTGTACTGAAGTGAAGATAGTCTTCTCCGACCTGCTACACGAATCTTTAATGAAATTTTTGTGATTAACTCCTCAATTGTGATGTTTCTCTTCAAGGTTAAGGGGATATAATGATCTGACTCAAAAACAACCCCCTCTTCAACTTCCTTTATTTCTTCATCATACAAAACAACAGTAGAAAGACGACTCATTTTTAGAGAATTTGAGAATTTAGAGTTTGGGAATTTGAGAATTTGAAAGCTTGTGAACTGAAGTTTGTTTTAAAAGTTTATAATACATTGCATATAATAGTGTCTATAATCGGGGTACTATTCATATGAAGGCGCGTTCTCGGGGGCGCGCCTTCCATTATTTTATCAAAGAATATGTTATCATTGCCCTATTATGTCACTCATGTCCCTCGGGGACACTATTCATATCAGTACCTATTTTCTCAGGGGACTTGAAGGCGCGTTCCCGGGGGCGCTCCTTCCATTATTTTGTCAGAGAATATGTTATCATTGCCCTATTATGTCACTCATGTCCCTCGGGGACACTATTCATATCAGTACCTATAATTTCTCAGGGGACTTGAAGGCGCGTTCCCAGGGGGCGCCTTCCATTATTTTGTCAGAGAATATGTTATCATTGCCCTATTATGTCACTCATGTCCCTCGGGGACACTATTCATATCAGTACCTATTATTTCTCAGGGGACTTGAAGGCACGTTCCCGGGGGGCGCCTTCCATTATTTTGTCAGAGAATATGTTATTATTGCCCTATTATGTCACTCATGTCCCTCGAGAACTATAGATGGATTGTGCAATCAGGTAAATTATAACCAAAATTTAACTTCTTTTGAAAGTTCAGCAAGTTAAGAATAAAATTATACATATATTAATTTAAGTTCATAACTTAAATTAAAACGTTATGTGAAGTTTGAATAAATTAGATACAATGTTATGGATAAATTGAATAAATGTGAAGTGATAAGTTGATTGTGACATTGAAATTGTATGGAATGAGCATCGAGATGTTTTTACGAATAAATGTGAAGTGATAAGTTGATTTTAATGTATACGTTTTAATATATATATTAATGATAAAATCATATGTATGGATAAATTTAATTTCAATTTAAGTATTGTGAACTATAATTGGAATATAACTTTTAATTTCAAATACAATTAGAATATTAAGTTGAAATTTAATGTTAAATTTCGAATACTATAATTTATATTTTAAATTTAAATTTTGAATAATATTATTTTTATTTTTATTTTAAATTTCAAATAATATAATTTGTATTTTTAAAAACATTTAATGTTAAATGTAAATAAAAAATAACATTAAAAATATGTATGTAACAACCATGAAACATTTAAATAACATAACCAAATTACATAAAATTCTGAAATATAACTATTTAAATAACATTAAAATACAACTGGATCACCGATGCCGTCTTCTCGAATGAGTTCCACATGGCGGTGGTTGTCTATTTCGTGGAGGATTTCTTCGTGGAACTTGTTCTTCAGTCTCCTCATCTTCACTATCATCATCATCAATATTTTCTTCATTTGGTGTAGATGACACTGAAGGGGCTGAAGGGCCTGTATAAAATAACGACCCTGGAGGAGTACTAGTAACAATCCCACCGCTCCCCGAGAATTGTGAAAACATTGGAAACATTGGCATCGATGTCTGTGATCCAGATTGAGATTGAGGTGTCTGTGGAGAAGCACCACCAGCCAAATAAGATGCATATGAACCATATGCTGGATCATTAAACATAGTCGTATATGCACCTCCATATGGTATAAAATCCTACGGGCTAGGCATATAACCTGGTGGGCTAGGAATGTAACCCTACGGGCTCGAAATGTAACCTGACGGGCTAGGAATGTAACCCTGCGGGCTCGGAATGTAACCCTACGAATATGGCATATGAACTGGTGGGCTTGGCATATGAAGTGGAGGGCTGGGCATGTACCCCTGCGACATTGGCGGATAAGGATGTTGTGGTGGGACTGATGCAGAACCGGTGGCGCTTTCTCTCCATCCACGCATCGGGGGATGATGATATTGAGACAGTTGACGTCTTTCTCGGCGCTTAGGAATGCTAACCCCTCGTGCTTCCGCCGAAAGTAGAAACGTCTTCCCATTTTCATTAAACCAGTCCATATAGTTATCCGTAACCATATGACCAGTTTCAGCGTAATATTGTCGAGGGGCCAACAGTGCATATCGGTTCTCCCAAAGCGCAATCCAATCTTTGTGTCTCACCACCCAGTTAACCTCTTTCTTTTCTCATCTATCTATGTTATGCACGTCGTCTAAATTCCTAGGTGCTCCAGGAATATATTGCATACAACCATACTGACGGAGCACACGATCAACTGGATGCCACTTAATAATAACATAACATATAAGAGGTATAACCGACATTCATACCTCTAATGACCCACTAAGGTGGGGTGTTCACGTGTTGTGAGTACTATAAAATATACGCAAATAATGTGCAAGTATACACAATCGCTCAAGTAATAAAGTGATGAGTGAGTATTGTCTCCACAGGGATTGGAAGGATATTGAGTAAAGTTTATGCACTATTCTATCTAAGTATAGTTAGTCTTGATATATACAAATGTCACGGCAATGGATATGTGTATACTGGTGAATGTGGATTGATGGTGTGATGGTGTAGCAAATGGAAATGCAGTGGCAAGAATAGATGTTTAGTGTTGAAAATGATGAAATGTCAAGAAAATGAAAAATGGTAAAAATAGTAAATAAAAGATAAATAAAATAAAAATAAGATAATCCTCACATGACAAGTTTCCAATGGAATGAATGGTAGGGATTGATCTAAGAATACTAAACTTATCTCTCAGGCAGATTTAAGCTATCTAGTCTTTACTTACTCGACAGGGCTTTCCTAAAATGTTCTCACAGGAACCTAACAGAATAGGATGCCAAGGCATCTGCTCTCACTCAACGTTGTTGGATAGCCTACCCTATTGGTAAAGACACCCTTTTTAGTCGTTGAAATCCTATCCTAGTCTCTTCCGAGATCTAAGGGATTAGGTTATACTATTCCTAGGCCGGTTTAAAGCCCCTTGAAAATACTATAACCCATTGCTTATGAGGATCTTGTCTTACGTTTCTTCCGAAAACTTACAAGTATTTTTAGCTTAGGATTCTTCCGAACACCTAGCCTTCATCTAAGAAATGGACATTTCCATGCCTCTTACAAGCCTAGATGGTGAAGCATTCATAAGCAAAGCAAATAAAGAACCAAAGTAAACTTAAATATACCATTAAAAATAAAGTTTAAACAACCATTAAATCAACCACCACCAAATAAGTTAGTTCATGGTGGGGTTCAAAATATCCATAGAAAAATCCACAAAATATTCGTTCCAACAACCATCAAATAAAATAAATAAAATAACAGCAAAGGGAAGTGAGAAAGAGCCTTCGACGCGTGCCACCGGAGGTTTCCTCGGCCACCACGAATCGCCTTAGCTCGCTAGCTCCTCTCGGCGCCTAGCTCGCCACTCCTTGAAGCTTTATCAATGGAGGAAAACCTAAGGAAGAAGAAAGGAAAATGGTAAATAAAAATCTGATTTTTCTTCTACAATATGCGTCTCTTTTCTTCCCCACTCTCTCTCTCTTGTGAGGTGTAATATATAATAAAAATATCTAGGGGTAATGATGAGGTTGTTGGGATATTGTTGGGTGCAAAATACCCCTCATACCCCTAGAATCACATGTTGTGCATGAACCTTATCCTCGAGGTGTCAGTGGTCCCCTAGCAGGCTGTTACAGCCATCATTTCACTTGCAGAGCCAGTTGTCCACGTACAGCTGTATATTTTTGTCGTTTTCCGCGCCAGAAATGCTTAGGCATTTCAATCTGCTTCAGCAACGTGTGATGCCGCGGCATTACTTCCCAGCTCGCCTATTTTGCTTATTGTTTCCTACACATCACTAAAAACCACACCTTCCTCTTCATATAGCACCTTAATAAAATAAAATAACACAACCACCAAAAATGTAATTATATGCAGCTACATACATCTAAAATGACCTATATGTACCCTTAAACAAACAATAACTTAAGTTGAAAAGACCTTAAAAATAGTCTTTTTACGGAGTTATCACACCCCCAAACTTAAGTTATTGCTTGTTCTCAAGCAATGGATAACAATTAACACAATCAAAATGTTATGGCAATTTCAACAGTAGGACAACAAGACAAAAATTGAATTTCAACCCTCAGAAAAAATCGGCTTCTACATGCTAGACATATCAAGAATTCAAGTACTTTTCCCTAGGTCAAGATTCTTTATGGTGTTGTGTGTGTGATTTATTGTATCTAATCTATACTTTAACGAATTTAGGCAATTTCTAATTGAGTTCCCTAGTTTTGCCACGACATTAACTCATTCATTAAGCACATTTATACTCCCTTTTCACTTACTACACATTTTTTTTCTTATTTTTTTCAGTTTTTTTTACGCTGCTACGAGGGGAGTCAGCTCATCACACCTACCATCCCACACTCTAGGTGAAAGGAATCATACCTTCCACCCCCAAGCTAGTCAGGCAGAGTCATCCCGTGACTACTTTTATTCACTTGTATGCGCGTGGCTGCCATTTATTAAAGAGAGTTCCAGGCAATGCCACGGCAAAGAGGAGTGTCCCTCTACAGCTATGTCGAAGCGTTTATTCACGATTAAACAAAATTCAGAGATAAGGGAGTTTTTTTTCAATTTGATCAAATCGCCAGCAAAGTCATCAATTAATTTCATGGTATCCTCCATTCCAACACCATGTCACTGTCAGTAAAATTCTCAACAAAGTTGGCACATTATGTAATTATTATAAAAAAATAAAATATAACATCAAAATATAGATATTAAAAATAAATACAATATTAAAATAAGAGCTTAATTTTTATCGAGATACTCATTTTGATATTTTTTTTATTTATTTTAAATATTTTAATACCTAACATTTTATTTAGAGTAAAAAGACTCTTAATATTTGATTGAATACTCACTTTAACCTTTATTCTTCTTCTTCTTATTGAACATTTTGACCCTAATATTTTATTTTAGAGTAAAACGACTCTTATTTTGAACATAAATGTTTGTTAATTCATGATTTCAATTCACAGAAGGGCTTTTTAACCCCAAGCCAAAAAAATAGAGTTCAAAGTAACAATTTAATCAAAAGTTAAGGATTTTTTACATTATGCCTAAAAAGAAATAACATAATATTAAAATTTTCAAGAAAATAAAAATATTTTAAACAGAAACTCCAACAGAACATTATAGCGGAGTAGGAAGTGTGAAGGTTTACTGTCATCCATACCCCCTGGTAGAATCCAACTGCAACTCCAAAATGAGCCAAACTGATGTGATCAAATCGTTCGAAAATATGTGCCAAAGGGAGATTCGATATGTAACTGAAGAAATCATACATTATAAATATTTTCACCACAACTGAATGAATTTGTAAAACGTCATTTTAAACCAATACAACTTACACGTCTGAGAGGTTAAATTTTACTGAAATGGTGAATCCAGATGCATTTGCAATCAAGTTCCCATGTGTCAACACCACTCCCTTGCCAAAATGTTATGAATCGTATTAGCAGGTGAATGAAACAACCTCCATTTTTAGTTTGTATCATTGCCTCTTCAATTGGACGGTAAGCCTTTTAAGTTCATGGTTACTTAGATAAGATCTGTTAAAATTCACAGGGGGGAGCTAATAATACCTTTGGTGTTCCAGTTGTACCACTAGTGTAGCAAACGGTAGCGACGTCGTCTGGTTTCGGTTGGCAAAATGGGTGAAGGTTACTACGGCCCTAGTCGAACCTGTCCCATGAAAAGCAATTATATCACACACTAGTAAGCAAATTTACCAGTAGATAGCAGACACCAAAACCAGGAGGGATATTTTATTGACAAATTAGAGGGCTTTTAGGATCTAATCTCCATACCTGACTTAATAATTGTGAATATGTGACAACCTGAACGCTAGTTGATGATGGCAACAAAGGCACTTCATTTTCCATTCCTCCAACTACCTGCAGGTTAAAGAAGCAAATACTTTTACTCCATAGAATATGGCATATCAGTATGTACTTTTGTTGCCCCTATGAGGTCCGTGCGTCCTTCGGCACATCAAAGACCATATGAGCCTTCAATCATTAAAATGAGGTCAACCCCCGATCCGGAGGTGAGATGTGCCTCCGACCAATCAAACGAACAGATGGACAGACTAATAAAGTTATGGTTTAGCAAGTTTATACCACAATCAATCGAAGGGATGGAATCTCAGACAAAATGCTCAGCAACTGCAAGTTCCACGGGGGGAAATGAATTAATATTAGGACGGTAGAAAGTTATTCACAATGAAACAATTTGTCAAAATGGAAACCGGAACATAATTCCCTAAATATATATATATATATATATATATATATATATGCAACATTGAAAGCCTAAACTTACAGAATTCAAAGTTAGGGGCATGCAAAATACAGCTTTTAGATCTGCGTGATTTATAATGTACTTGACAGCGTCCGGACCTGCGGAAAACCTAATTTTCAATATAGCATCTTAGCAATAGGCCAAGTTGGACAAGCATTCAATCGAAAAGAAGAGAATTTGGGGTAGTGGCAAACCTAGAGTGTCATATAAAGGAACTGAAATAAGAGAATATACAGCACAGGCATGATCAACAATGAGCCACTCTGGTCTATTGATGAAATATAATGCAATGCAAGAGCCCTGCCATTATAAAAGCTAGACTCAGAGTGCTAGATCCGGATAAAGGTACCGAACCGAAAAAGTGACGCACATATGTTCACCAGGCAGGAAACTTATTGCAGACCATGCAGCAGCAAGTAATAACAAATATATAATTGCTACTGAAATGCTGCTCTACCTTTAGTATTCCATGATGTATTAGGCCGCATCCGATAGCTGTCCGAGCAGTAGCAGCTTCTTTGTACGTCATCCACTTGTACCTTGATGACAAAACATAAAAACGAAAGCAAATGAATGAACTTTGACAACAAACTGTGACCTTGATTTTGTCAATAGGAAACTTACTCTCCAACGGTTCAATCAACTCGAGTTCTTGCTCCGAGATATCCGTAATCTCCAAAGAACTCAACAGCATGTCTAAATAAATAAATAAAAATCATACCAATGATTGAAGTAACCATCCGAAGTACTTCCAAATGAAAAAAAGATGATAAAGCATTGATGCATTGAACAATTACCAGATGCTAACACAAAATTGTCATGCAATGTACCAATGTTGGGATGATCGGGAAACCGCGATACGAGCTTCACCGGTGAGCGAGCAGATATTTCATTAGGCATAAAAGTAAGGAAGGGACAATGCAAAGACAAAATAAACAAGGGATAGTAGCAGAGTGTTACCTGTACACACTCCATTTTCCTGTCTTCAATTTCTCTGGCAACACAACACTGTATTCCTATTGTGCTCAAAGACAAATTTTCAATATCAACATATGTTCTTTTCCTTCTCAACCACATATATATGTCCACCTTGCCCCGCCAAATAAGCATCATATGAACCCCACTTTAGATCTACTAGAAGTATAATATACGCCAAGAAGGGTCATAAAACCCTGCGGCAATGGCATCTGACCCGGCTGCGGTGGCATCTGATATGGCTGCAGTGACATCTGATATGGAAGCGGTGGCGTCTGACTCAGCTGCTGTGACATCTGAAATGGTTGCGGTACCATCTGATATGGTTGTGGTGCATCTGAAACGACTGCGAAATGTACACTAGTGGAGGCGGTGGCTGCTGTGATGGTTCCGGTGTTGCAACTGAGGACGAGTTGGAAGTGCCTGTTCTCCGTCCACGAGTCGGAGGACAATGATGTTGTGACGGTGGACGTCTTTGTCGACGTTGATGGATGCTCCCGCCTCGTGCTTCCTCGCGCCTCATGCTTCCTCGAAAAGTAGGAACGATTTCCCGTTCGTGTTTAACCACTCATAATAATCATTCACAACGGAATAATGATCCACATAAATGAGTTCCGTACGAGAAATACGTCCAAATCAGTGCTCCCATATCATTATCACTCTATATGCTGTAGCAGTCAGTCGACTTCTTTTTTGCCCTGTCTATCGATGATATGCATATCGTCGAGATTCTTAGGTGCTTTTGGAATAGATTGTACGAAACCAAATTGGCAGAGCACGCAATCAGTAGGATGCCACTCGACAATAGCATAACATATCAGAGAGACCACCGTCATCCAGACATCTAATGAGCCTCTTAAGTGATGTGGGATGCAAATCATCATTTCTTCAGTAGAATAAGGAGCCCATTGAAACTAAAAGAAATATAATATTCTTATCAAAATAATATTTTAATTATATAACGATAATTAAAAGTAGATAATAAAATTTAAATACAAACCTTTGTACCAGCCTTCTGATCAATGAGTAGCCGAATTTCTTCTTATTCATTCGGTAAATCTTGATGATCTTTTCTTGCACTTGACTACCTATTCAATGAAAAAAAATTCATTATATACTCAACAAAATTATTTATATACGAGTTCAGTATTGAAATTACCTCAACAATAGCGGAAAGAACAACATACTTTTCATGACCGAACATAAAAAGGGTATGTGATACCACGCCCAAGACTGAAGAAGCAATAGCATTTTTTCGATAATCAGTTGCTCGACATATTTCCCTATACAAAAATGCCAAAAATGCAAAGCCTTAACTGAGTGTGTTGGCAACATGAAAATCTACGAGGTGACGCAAACCACATATAATGAACTTGGTTTCACTATTTGTCAGGCATCAGGATCCCTCCTATGAGCTATAATATGCAAGCATGTGCATACATTTTAACATGTTCCTCGGAGGCGTCATGACTCAAATGTTTAAAAGTTGTATCCAACCAATTTAACTGTATTCGACCACCGTTAAAGTTAGGCGAGACACCTCCAAGATACTCCTCACACGAGGAATGGCAGTCACCATCCGCCACCCCAGAAATCACATCCACATCTACCGGAAGCCCCAAATGTATGAAAACATCATCCAGCGTAATTGTGCACTCTCCACACGAAAGATGAAATGTGTGTGTCTCTGGTCTCCACCTTTCAACCAGTACAGAAATAAGGTTGGATTCAAGGTTACAGTGCCCTTCATATTTCGCTAGAGAACCGAATCCAGCCTCGACTAAATATGACCAGACACGAGTAGGTATCCCTAACTTAAAGTTACGAATGAATGGATCTAAAATATGGTCCTAATTTAATAAATAGTTTACAAATTAAAATATGAACTAATACTAAAAAAATAATTAAATAAAACATTCACAATAATTAAAATAATAACACAATTTAAAATTGTTATTGTATCAGTAAAATGCCTCGAGATATGATTCTCATCTAAACATTCACAATAATTAAAATAACAACACAATTTAAAATTGTTACCGTATCGGTAAAAAAATTTAGTACAATAAAATTTAATAAAATAATTGTAAACTCGTTTTTTCGTCTGAGGATTTTGTTTTTTTATTATAGTTTTATTTTGGTTATATTATATTATATTATTTTAATTTATTTTTATAGTAATTATATATAATAATATATAGTATAATTTAAAATAAGTTTAAAATATATATAGTATAAGTTTAAAATATATATAGTATATAGTTTAAAATATATAGTTTTTAGAGAAATAATATATATAGTATAGTTTAAAATGTATATAATATATTTTTTAAATATAGTTTTTTAAAATATAAGTATACGAGTGTATATTTATATAAATAATATGTAGTATAGTATTTAATTATGTAAATATAATATAGCATATAGTTTCGAAATTTATAAATATATATTATAGTAGTTGTTTTATACGTTTTATTTATATTGTTATTATTATTAGTATTATTATTAGTATTATTCATTTTTATATTATATGATTGCACGTAAATGGTCCAAATTGAAATCCCATAATCTAAGTATGATGGTCTAGTAGGTATACAGGCCCAACCAGGCTCACAAGTCTGACTCAACAGAGGTGTCTGATTGAAGCCTAAATAGCGCCAAGGTCCGGACTGAAACGGGTGATTCACCCGGATAAGAGCCCAAAGGAGTAACCTAATGGAGCTAGGGTTTTCTGTCATAAATTCCCAGCGCCGCACAACAGAAACCATTGGATCTGGGTGCTGCATCCAATGACTCTGGTAGGGTAATACAAAGTTAGGGTTTTCTTATAACCCTTTAAGGAAATAGGCACAGCCGCTCCATAACTGTTAGATCTGACCCAATCCAATGGTCTAAGATCAAGAAGGTTTAGGGTTTTATCATAATCCAAGTTGATGGTCCACGCGGCCGTATCATGACCGTTAGATCTAACCCAATCCAGTGGTCCATAGATCGTGAGTAATATGTGGGGTTTCCAGACCCTAAAACTTCCAATCACCACCACAATTAAAGATTTCCAGTGGTTTTCACCACCGTTGATCGTTCCACATCAGTAGGAGAGGACAAACCAGAACATGTCATCCTCCCTCGTACGAGAGAATGAAAAAGGATGATTCTATTACAACAGAAATGGCTTTGGAACCACCCAAGAGAGCAGCAGGGGAGGAGTGCCTCCAACGGCCTCACACAATATCACATGAGAGGTGAGAATTCCCACTCCATATATATAACATAAAAAACAGAGATCAGGGGAGTCTTTTGGGGAAAAAAGAGATATCATCAGCAAACAAATCAGAAAAATCCATGGACAAAAACAAAGAGCAATCAACCAAAAAAATATAGTCGAGCAAAGATCCACATTAAGGAATATAAAAAAATCTCTCTTATATGAGAGAACAACCCATCAATCAAAAATTGAGAACCCTAAAAAGAAAAAACCTTACTTTCTTATTCAGAGAAGAGTCTCGTCACTATCCCCAAAGGTCCAAACCCCATTGAGTCATCAAGGGTACGTTTCTCACACCCTTTTTTCCATCATCGAGCATTTTTGTTGGTTGGTGGGTTTGGTTTGAGAGAGAGTTAGGTCTAGGATTAGTTTTTTTGAAGAGGGTTTTGGTTGAGGCTTGAGGGTAGTCTGATTTTGAGGTCCCTAGGCTCCTCGTCGGAGCCCTTGGTAAGAGTGGAGTCCACGACGACCATTTGTTTTGCCGGGGGCGATGAAGATATGAGAAGGAAAAGAGGGGGAGAGAAGAGAGAAAATGGCTTGGAGGGAGTAAATGGGGTTTAGGATAATTTGTCATCCAAAATAACATATATATAGTGTTGCTAAAATGGTAGTGTTTAGGGGCTAGGGCAATTGGTCTCTCGCCGTGTGGGTTATTTGTGTAAAGGTTCCTCTGATGTTTTTATTGAATGCATTTTAGTCCTTGTTTTGATATTTTTGTTAGTTTCTGATTTTGTCATCATGCTTTACATGTGATACATTTCAATCATGGGCCATGATATTGTAAGTTTTCATTACCTTATGTATTTGACACTCAAATTTTTGTATGTTTCATTGTAGTCCATATTGATTACTTGTTTGAAATTCGTATTGTTTAATTTCCTGGTTTGATATTTCAAGTTTTTTTATTTATGCACGTTCATGGTTTTATCGCAATTTTAGGGTATGTAATATTTAACTTTCATATTAAGTGTCCAATCTTTGCTTAATTAGCTAAATGTTTCCCCCAAACCTGCCTTTTTAATTTTTATCATTATTTTTTTCTTTATATCATAGACATTTTTTTATTTTGCATTGGTAAATATTTTTCTTTCAGTTTAAGTTATGCATGTTTGATTAATCGTTGGCACGTTTGTGTATACATGTGTATGCGAGTAATTAATTTATGAAACATACATTATTGATGCATGCTATATATAATATCAAATAATCGGATTAAGGGTAATACCCTTTCATTTTTAAAATCGTTGTGAGGTGATTGTCTTAACTTATAAGAATGTCGCTTCCGATGACTTTAAATTGAAAGTGTATCTCGTTAAGTGAAACCTTAAAATTTTGTTTTCGCCTAAAATTTGTGAACGAAAGAAAAAGAAATATTCGTTTATTTAAATTCTTCGAGAAAAGATTGTTAGAACTTATCTAAGGTCCGGTCTTGACGTCTTTAAATAATCGAATATCCTTCTTCTTTCTAAAAAGGATTGGTAATTTTTAATTTAATTTGTTTTTGTGCATTTGAATATTACGATGGAACTGTAATATTTCTTCATTTTGATTGGAATAAGAATTGATTGTCTCAAGGTATGAGGGGTCATTTCTTCTAGATAAGAAATAAATAAATATTATTAGGTTTCATTTTAAAATTCATAAAGTGTTGTTTTATGGGATCATAAACTAAATTAAATTTGAAATTGTAAATTTTATCGCAAAGACAATTAATTAATCAATTAGGTATAGATTTAGGGCGTTGTGGGGGGTGTTAATCCTTCCCCACACGTAATTGACCCTCGAACCCATTTTTCTGGCATGTATACCAAAAATT